TATTTTCATTTTGCTCATGTATCATTTCCTTAATTTCATTTAGTTATCTTCCTATGGTCTCTTATTTCTCCCTTTTACCTTCTTCAATACAGTTATTTTTATTTTTTTTTGCCAGGGACTTTTAGAGCTCCAATTCTTTATAGTCAGTTCCTGGAATTTTTTTCTTCCTTTGGTTGTGTCATATTTCCTTATCTTTCATTTTCCTTGTAGCTTTAAATTGCATCATTTTCATTGCTAGCTTTTCATTTGAGGAAACAGCTACTTCGCCCAGTCTTTATGGACTGGCTTCAACAGGAAAGAACTTCATCAACCAGCCCAGCTAGAGATACTGAGAGCATCTCAAACCTTTGTTATGGATGATCATGATTCCCTCCTCTCTTCCTCTCATGGTAGAGAAGTCTCAGAATTGCGTGTTTTCTTTCAATCTCACAGAACCATGCTGATCATAGTGTGCTTCCCACCCTTTTCCCCTGTGACAGTGCAGGATGCAGAAAGTCCAGGACATTAAATTGCTTCATTCCTCTTACTCCCATCTGGGGGAGAGGTCTCAGGGTTGTGTGCCTTTTCCCAGTTTCACTGAGTCATGCTGGCTGCAGTAAGTCAACCACTTATTTCCTTTGTCCTTAGCTGCTATCATATGTATAATCTTTGCTTGTTTTCTTAGTGTTCTGAGTGAGGCAAGACACAAATAGGTCCTTTGGGCAGTGCTATTAAAGGCCAAGGATGTTGGGTGCATGCTATACTCCATTTCCTCTCAAGGAGCAGTCATAAACAGAGGTTATTCCTCTGATGCTGAGCTATGCTGTCCTGGGGCAGGGACTGACATGAGTAAAGTGAAATAGCTCTTGTTAACCATTATAATTTGACTCTTCTTGGTTTTGTAGTCATCTTTGGTATTGCAACTTTTTAACTGAATTTTAGTCCTCTCATAAAGGTATTTTGGTCCACATATCGTTGTTAAATTGATGTTTTTATGGGGGATAGGGCTGTGACTTCTTATTTCACCACCTTGCTAATATCACACTATTGCTGTATTCTTATTATATATTAACTCACTTTTTAAATACATTTCATATATTTTAATAATTTTTGAAATAAGTGAATCCTCCAATATATCCTGACATTTTCTAGCTTCTTCACTCTAAAATATTTTATTGGACTTGTCAACAAATAATATAATCTCTAAAATTTTTCTTTTCTAGTAGAATAGGAGCCTTCCTCCAAAATAAAGTAGAATAGTTCATTCTATATTTCTCCTTATTCTTTAGATTCTAAGGAATGCCTATATACTTGGGAATATGTTTAAAGTTTTGACTTTTAAATAAGGATTTTTAAAAATGTTTTCCTGCAAGTATGATCGTCTCTTCACTGATGTGTGTTTTCACAAAGACGCCAATGCTATGTCAGAAACCACGTCTATCAGTGTGATAGGAAAGCTTTTTATAAGTTCATTATAATTACCATCGACTTATTATTATGGTAAAATATACATAAAATACAATTATTTTAACTATTTTTAGGTGTACAATTCAGTGGCATTAAGTACATTTATAGTGTTTTGCAACCAACACCACCATCACCAAGATTTTTCATATTTACCATCTGTGTATCTATTAAGCAGTAAGTCCCCACCCCTCCCTGCTCCAGCCCCTGATAACCTTTGTTCTACTTTCTGTCTCTATTAATTTGTGTATTCTAGCTACCTCCTCCTACGTGTAATCTTACAATATTTGTTTTTTTTGTCTGGAATATTTCATGTAGCCTAATGTTTCCAAGCTTCATCCATGTTTTAGCGTGTATCAGAATTTCATTCTTTACCATTGACTTCTTGAATGTTTGACAGTAATTCCAAACTTATGGAGTTCTTTGAGGATATAAGAAATTTAATATATGTGGGATATATGACTCAAAATGTGGGGTGAATAATATTCATCTCCAGTAATTTTCATAGTGTCATATGCATAGGTCAAGATTAACCATGATTCTAGTTGCTTCTTTCTTGACTAGTCTCTCCTTTTTCAATTTCCAGATGTCCTTGAGTTCTTCCAAATGTGACAACTTCAAGGTTTTCTATTATTTTGTCCAACTGAAGAACTCAGACACATGTTCTTTGAAACTAAAGAATGCTATACTGTAATGAGGGGTGCCATTAAGAATGCTTATAACCTCATTATATGTAATTTACAATTATACAAAAATAATTTACAGCTAAAGAGTTATTTAACTAAGAACAATTCTGAAATTAATATGGGTTATTGGTCAGGGCTTCCTACTTATCCTACATAAAAAAATAATAAAAAATAGTTACATTAATTAATTATGCATTACCTACATTTGACAACAGATTTAATTCTTACCCACTATGTATCACTTCTAACCAGTGCTTTCATGTGAACAATAGTTGGAGTAGTTTCCTATATAATGTGACCTTACTGAACTTATCCAGATCTAACAAACAGTGTTCTAAATGACTGATTTTGTCATTTACAATGATAATCACACTATCACTTCTTTTAGTCCAGAATTTTTTCCTTGACCTTAAGTGTATTTTATAGGGCTTTAATTATGGTACCATGTATTTCAGTAATGCCTAAACTTGCAATAAAGAGGATGAACTAAAAATTCAAGAAGAGTTGTATAGTTTTCTGTATCTATTGGAAAATCTGGGTGACCTTTTTAGCAACAATAGCAGTTATTTTCAAATTCCTCCATCTAAAATAAGGCACACACAATAACGAAGATGTGGCTTCAAGATACAAATAATGATTTAAGTTTTTTGGGGTACATTTTGTCTACTATTTTTTGTTTTCATAAAAAACCAACTATTTTGAACCATTTCATTAATAGTAAAAATCAACCCTTCTCATATGCCAGTATGCACACCTTCCTGAGTTCCCTGGTGGAGATGAAGAAGAAAAGAAAGACAATCTGTGTTACCAGATCTAATAATATCAACAACACTACCATTATCAGCACTGTGACCTGAAACCATGGTACCTTTTTGAGAAATTATTTAATGTTCACAAGAAATTCTTTAGGGAGGTCGTCATATATCCCCATTTTAGAGATAAGGAAACTGATTTTTAGGAAGTCAGGTAACTTTCCATAAATCAATAAGCATGTATGTTAAAGAGCTAAGATATGAACCCAAGGTCATCTGACTCATCAGTGCACCCTCTTCATTAATTTGTTTCAGTGTCTCATGAACATGATTTAATGAGTATGAAGCAGTAATTGTTTTCAGGATTTATTACTTCATTATGGTGACATAAATTAATATTTGTTTTCAGAGATGTTTCTTCTCTTTGGATGTGAGTTTTCTTTAATACAATTATAAATGTACATGTTGCTTAGCACACCTGAACAGCATGGTCTGTTGAGTAGAGCTGTCTGCTTGCTGACACAGAAGCATTTCTCATTTATTATTAGTCATTAGTAATGACATTATCTTAAATCACTGTCAACTGTTTTCAGTCATATATTAACAGAAGTAGGAAAGTTTTGAGAAGTTTTGACAGTTTTGTGGTACATATGGTAGAAGACACCTTAACAGCTTATCAATTGAACTCAATAAGCTAACTTCATTCTTACATTCATGGATGTTAATGAGTATGACCGTTGAATAATGCAATATCCTTATGAAATATCATATTTATTTAGACTCTCAGACTTTATTTTTCTTTAATTATGTTGAATTTTTAGATGCTATCTCTGCAATACTAATGAACACTACCCCGAAAAATCTGTATGATAAATGTTCAATCTTATAACATATTTTTATTTTGCATGCTTTTTCAAAATGACCATTCTTCTTGAATCTGTATTTGCTTACTAGAAACTGTAAAAGAGATTGTCTTGTGATGGTTATAGAGCATTGCTAATAGTTCTTCATAGAGGCCCAACTGTCCCTCTGTCTTGTATTATTTAAATGGGATGGCCATCATACATTATGCAGCAGTCTTGCCTTTTATGGTGTTCCTCTCTACTCCTGTCCACCAGAGAAGGGCCATGTCTTTCAGTCAATTTCCCCTAAGACTGTTATATTACTGTCATATTAGATATGGGGAGCTTAATTGCTTATAGACTTACTTTCTTTAAGAGCCATTTAGAAAATTATAGACATATTTTCTATTGGCTTACCTGATTTATTTAGGAAAATATAGTAATACTAAGGAATGAATTTTAATTTTTTAAGTAGCCAGGTCTTACGTAGCAATAGTGCTTTTCTTATGAGTCTTTTATGTATATTTTAAAACACTTTGGATCTGAAGCTAAACTTATTTAATATGACTATCATTCTTTGCCTTTCTGTAAGACTAAATAGTTACAGTATGTGTACTCTCTATTTGTCATCTCTTGGAGTAATATAGTAACATTTAAAGAAATATCTTAGCCATTTGTTTCCTTGAAACTAAATGCAAATGGTCTGTATTCTATTAATGAATGACAAGAAAGAGGTTGACTGACAAAATTCTTCAGTGCTCCTTTATACCGATATTTAAATGATATCATCTCTTTTTCCTAAAGTAGGTTCACATTTTTACCTAAACATTTTGGTTTACACATTTTAAGTATTTTTTTCAATAAACAATATGTGTACAATAATACAATATGCAGCTAATAGTAAGTATTTCAACAAAACAATCTTATATTACTGTAAAATTACTTTGGACTGGTACAAAACTGCATCATTTAAATAATAAATACAGGTAACCAAAGATAATCAAAATACCAATATTGAATTATAGCAGCCTCTGACTTATATACAGAAGTACAAATTGTAGTAGAGAAGATAATAGGAACTTTAAATCTACTTTTGAATTATTACCTATAGTTTTTTTCAATAAAAAAGTATATTTGGCATCTATACTTGCTTAGTTGAATTTTCACACAATTCAGTAGAGTTTGAGAAATATAGCATAGACATAATTAAATCATTAAACATATCTATGTAGTATGATATGAAGTTTTTTCTATCCTTAATATTTTCTTTTTTGTAGTCAAATAAGAATTTGGATATTTCAATAAATGCATCAAACAACTTTAATCTCAACATTACATGGTCAGTTGGTTCAACAGGTAAGAGAATTTTGTTAGCATGTCTTTCACATTTGCTCCTAGCATGTCTAACATGACCTTTTACTGTTAATTTGAATAATCGATATTTTAAGAATATTGTGTTCTCTAATCATTGTGCTCTTTCAGGTATAAATAATAAGAAGTAGTATTAATAAAACTTTTTTACTTATTTGCCTTTTTCCTTTATTCAATTAAATTAGGTGGGTAACAAATATTTTATTCTACTTAATTTGTTAAAATGGCAGTCTTATGAATTGCCATGGTTTTAAGATAGATTACCTCTTTAATCACTAAAGAGATATTTCAATTATGTGACTCACTATTGAAGCTATAAATTTAATTATCAACTTAAACATTGACATAAAATACTAAAATTCTTCTGTGCATGCAGAAGATAAGTTAAGAACTTATTGATTACTTTCAGGATTAGAAATATGCTATCCCCCTTGTCAGCTTTGATCCTGAGATCAGGGTTAACAAAAGTCTATGCTTAATATGTCTTCCATAATAAGGTTTGTAAATTGAAACTTGACTTTTAAAAATATAACTAAGACGGAGTACAAATCTCTATGTTGGGTCATGAAGAAGTATGCTTACCTTTTTTGTATTTACATTTTAGGTAATTCTGTTGCTTTTTCTTTTCTATATCAAAGATACACTTTTGCATAAAATGTTGAAAACTTTTTTAAAGAAAATCTATAACTTCTTAGAAATCCATATTTGATTTATGCTATTTTAATATGTAAACCATGAAAAACAGAATTCAAGAGTGAAGAGCTATTGCAATTCTGGAACTCATGTGTAAAAAGTGAGAAGTTCAGGCATATATATAGATGTTTTGTTAGAATAGTGCCAAACACAAAATAAAATCTTGGCACTGTGAGTTTCATTCATTAGTAATTCATGAAAACTTGTACTGTTAATTTGAAATTTATTTCTGTGCAATAAACTGACTCTAGGAGGGTTTTTAAATTGTCAACAAAAACGTATAAAACCTCTGTGATCATTTTAAAACCCTGATTTTACTATGCAAGAAGTCACTTGTAACTTTCAGATTCGCAGAAACAAATCTCAGAAGTTTTAATTTATCAGGTTGGGAGATGGGATCAGGAAATTTGCGTTTTTAACATACATCCAAAGTAATTTAGAATAGGTGATCTGTTATAAATGAATTCAGTTTCTCAGTTTACTAATTCTAACTATTTTTACTGTTTGTTAAGGTGGAAGGCTTGGTAAGATTGTTGGAAATGTTTTGTTCCATTACATTAATTCCAGTAAACATTTATTGAGTTCCCAATATGTGTTTAAGTAATTGAGCATTTAGCTCATGTTTAAAATTCTAGCCTCCTCCCAATTTATTTGAAGTAGTGATTGTTTAATTTGTGTTAAGACAAATGACTTGATTTCTTTCCCATTTTTTAATTGGATTAAGACATGTGAAATATGCCTTGATTTGTTTCAAAAGGCTCTGTGGAGCAATAAGTAGAAAGAACTCAGGTTCTGGAACCACATATACCTGAGTTTCCAAGAAGAATTTAGCATTCAGTAGCTATAGACTTGAGGCAAGTGCTTTAATCTTCCTGAGACTCAGGTTGCAATTGGAGAAAAAGAGATTGATAAGTCTATGATAAATTGGTATTAGAAAATAATATAAAGTATTTAAGCCAGTGCCTAGTACATATAGCACGTAATCAGTGAAATCATTTTAAAAAATAATTTTATACTATATTTATTTCCATTGTTTATGACAAAATTACTTATTTTTTTCTTTTTCATTGTAAATTGTGAACATGAGTTTATTTTGATGATTACATTCTTGTAAGTATAGTTTTAAAAATTAAGTACAATATATATTTATAGGCTCATAAAAATTCTCATTTCCTAATATGAATTTTACAAAATTTGTTATTTACATTTTAGCTGGAACAATATCTGGGGAAGAGACTCCTATTGTTTCTAAGACAAATATAAAGGAATACAAAGATAGTTTTTCCTATGAAAAATTTAACTTCAGAAGCAATCCTAACATTACATTCTATGTGTACACCAGCAACTTTTCTTGGCCTATTAAAATACAGGTAAGTGTTAGTAATACATAATTAATGACCATCAAGTATTTTCAGTAGAAAAACGATGCTGTTTTTGTTCAAATTGATGATATAAATTTGTTTTAAACAATATGAAAGCATTTTTGACCCTTAATAAAAAGGGTACATGAATGTCTGTGATGAAGAATGTCTCTATAAAAAAGTTCATACAGATAATATTGAATGAACTAAAGAATGTAATGTTTCAATGAAATTGTATTCTTAAAACAATACACCAAAACTTGAAATAACTAGATTGTTTGGGTTTTCTGATTAATTGTATACTTCAACTGAGGGTTAAGTAGCTATTCTTTTCTTACAACCCCTCTTGAAATTACTTGCGGTGTTTAGTAATTTGTTTTTTGCTTTATTATATACTGAACATAATCTAAACTTTC